GGGGAGAGAGAGAGAGGTGGGGAGAGGGAAATGCAGTTCGGATCGATAGACCTGATTTCTTGGATGAGAGAATCGCGACCATTTGATCGAGAGTCCAAATCGAACAGCGGTATTGGAAGGAAGAGAGGGTGGATCGGGATCGCGATCTTGCATTCGCCACACGAAGCCCGTGTCGGTACGGGAAGGACGTTGTCTAGGCCGACGGACAGAGACCTGTTGTCTGGGGACGCAGAGTGTCTGGGCAATCCGCTTCTCTCAGAAGGACGAAGCCGGAGGCGGAATGGGGGAAAGAGAACGAGCGAGGGAACTGTAACTGAAGCAGGAGTCCAGTCCGGTTGGTTTCCGAAGGAGTTATATCCATCTCTACACTCCAACACAGTGCAGAAAGAAAGATCTGTATTCAGTTGAGAGAGAGAGAGAGAGAGAGAGAGAGAGAGAGAGAGAGAGAGAGAGAGAGAGAGAGAGAGAGAGAGAGAGAGAGAGAGACCGGCGTGTTCTGTGGGTAGTATTGTGATCTTCTGCGGCGCTCAGGACAGAGAGAGGCGGGAAGGAGAGGGAGGAGTGGTCATTGTCGGCGCGAGCGCGAGTGGCTGTGTGGGATATTTGTGGTCCGTCTGGGTTGTGAATCAGGAGCTCTCTTCTGCGCGGAGAGATCGTCTGAATCATCTAGTCTCTGCTGGAAGTCTGGGGCGGAAACGAGAAGGGAGACGAAGGCGCCATAGTCTAGAAGAGTGAAGGTGAGGCACAGACAAATCCATTCTCTCTCAATTCCTCTTCCTCCTCTTTCTGGTCATTTTTCTCCTCTTTCTGGTCATTTTCCTCCTCTTTCTGGTCATTTCCCTCTTCTTTCTGGTCATTTTCCTCCTCTTTCTGGTCATTTTCCTCCTCTTTCTGGTCAGTTTCCTTTTATTTATAAACAGCTTATGTACTTAATCTCGTTCTGTTTCCTCGGTTTCTCTTCCCCCGTCTGAAGATCTCTCTCTCTCTCTCTCTCTCTCTCTCTCTCTCTCTGTGAGACTCTCTTCTTATCTCTCTTTGAGACTCTCTTCTTCTCTTTTTCTCTCTTCCTTAGTTTCTCTTCCCAAGTCGCTATTTCTTGAGAAGATGTAAAACGTTCTCTCTCCCTCTCCTTCTCTCTCCCTCTCCTTCTCTCTCCCTCTCCTTCTCTCTCCCTTTCCTTCTCTCTCCCTCTCCTTCTCTCTCTCTCTCTCTTTCGCCTGTCGTCGCCCGATCATATTCCAATCATTACTAACATTGTCCTCGCTCTCCTTTCCGTTTGCCATTCTTTACTCGCTGTCTCGCCTCTGCCTGCCTGCCTGTCTGTCTTTCTTTGTGTCTGTCTGTCTCTCTCTCTTTTTTGGCTCCAGCATGGCAATACCGGTCTTGTTTCCTGCGTTCTTCTGTTTTGCTGAACTGTCTCTTCTGCCTCTCTCTCTCCCCCTCTCGCTCTTCTGACCCCAAGATCGTGTCACTGGTGGTGTTCCTTCAATGATTGCTGACTCTTGTGTTGATCTGTCTTTTCCCTTCCACCTCCTCCTCTGTCTGTTTGTCTGCCTGTCTGTCTCTCTGTATTCGTCTGTTTGTGTCTGTTTGTCCGTTTGTTTGTCTGTTTGTTTCTGTTTGTCCTCTCTCTCTCTCTCTCTCTCTCTCTCTCTCTTCTGGCCGCAGCATCTGTCTGTTTGTTCGTCTGTCTGTCTCTGTATATTTCTCTGTCTTTTTGTTTCTCTGTCCTCTCTCTCTCTTTCTCCTGTAAATGTGTCTGTCTGTCCGTCTTCCCTCTCTCTCTCTCTCACTCTCTCTCTCACTCTCTCTCTCACTCTCTCTCTCTCTCTCTCTCTCTCTCTCCTCTGGCCGCAGCATGTGTGTTTGACTGCCTGTTCTGTCTCTGTATATTTCTGTCTTTTTGTTTGTCTGCCCTCTCTCTCTCTCTCTTTTTCTGTCTGTCTCTTTATATTTCTCTGTCGTTTTGTTTGTCTGTCCTCTCTCTCTCTCTCTCTCTCTCTCTCTCTCTCTCTCTCTTCTGGCCGTCAGTATCAGGTCGGTGGTGATGTCTCTTCCAGGATTCCTCTTCTTCTCCTCCATCCTCCGAGGATTGCTCTTTTACTCTTCCTCTCTCACATCTTTGGTGACTCTCCTCTTCACCTCACTCTTTGACCGTACATGCCGACCGGCTTCTATTTTCTTCTTGGCTCTTGTTCCTACACCTTCTCCAATCAGGACAATGTCCCTTCCTCTCCTCCTGCTCTCCGCTTCCCTTCTCTCTCTCTCTCTCTCCCCGTCTTCGATATTCTTTCACTTTCTCTGCCCTGATTCATTCTCCGCCGGGTCCCTTCAAGGACCTTGTATTTGCAAAGGATATTATTTTAGTATTTCTCAAACGAGCGCGTGTGAGAATGGACCCGGCGGTCTATGGAACAACAATGTTGCTGATCCGTACTCTCTTTCTCTCTCCTTCTCTCGGGATATTCTCCATGATGCTTGTACTCGAGTGATCGACAATGTTGCGCGTTTACATGTCATGAAGACTACCGTCTTCCCTGACCCACGGCGAACGCTCATCGCGATTGTATACGGGCTACCTTTTCGGTCCAGACCTTAGCCAAGTTAGCCCGTGAGCGAAGCTTGAATTTGGCAGCATATACCATAGCCAAAGAATGACGAAGAAGCACGGTCGTGATGAGGTTGTGTTGTGATCGGAGGAAGACGGTACTACTCCCACTTCTTCGCTGGTTCTCCTTCCGTTAATCTTCCGCTCTATCTCTCCTCCTGCCTCTCTCCTCTATTCTCCTTTCTCTCTCCTTCTCTTTCTTCTCTTCCTCTCCCGTTAATCTTCCGCCGTCTCTCTCGTCCTCGCTCCCTTCTCTCTCTTGTTCTCTCTCCCTTTTTTCTTTCGCCTCTCCTTCTCTCTCTCCTCTCTCTCTGCTTCTCTCTCTCTCCTTCTCTCTCCTCCTCTCTCGTTCTCTCGCTCTGGCTTCTCTCTCCTTCTCTTTCTCCCGTTAATCTTCCACCCTCTCTCCTCCTCGCTCCTTCTCTCTCGTTCTCTCTCCCTCTTTCTTTCGCCTCTCTCCTCCTCTCTCCTTCTCTCTCTCTCCTCCTCTCTCCTCCTCTCTCTCTCTCTCCTCTCTCTCTCTGCTTCGCTCTCCTTCTCTCTCCTCCTCTCTCGTTCTCTCGCTCTGACTTCTCTCTCCTTCTCTTTCTCCCGTTAATCTTCCGCCCTCTCTCTCCTCCTCGCTCCTTCTCTCTCGTTCTCTCTCCCTCTTTCTTTCGCCTCCTCTCCTCCTCTCCTTCTCTCTCTCTCTCCTCCTCTCTCCTCCTCTCTCCTTCTCTCTCCTCCTCTCTCGTTCTCTCGTTCTCTCTCTGTGGCTTTTCCATCGTCGCTCTCGATTATACCATTGCTCCGTACTTTCGGTTTTCTCTCGAGTTCTCTCAGTTTTTCTTTCTCTACCACCCCTGCTTCCATTCCTCTTGCTTCCTCCGTGTGCGTACCTTCCCTCATGAATATAACTTCGCCTGATCACAAATGTATAGAAGCGACCTTTCCAGTCTGATACAGCCTCAAGCAGGGGGTGGCGGTGTTGGGGGGAAGCCAGTAGCTCTTTTTCCCTCCTCTACCGAAGTTCATTGATTTCTCTCTCTCTCCTCCATGGCCTAGGTATTTATTCCTTCACTTTTTTTCTCTATCGCTCCTCTTCCAATTCCTCTCTGACCCTCTCTCTTCTCTTCCTCTCTTGTAACATCAGCGGCTTGGCCAAACTTCCCTACCCCCCCCCCCCCCCCCTCCCCCCCCCCCCCCCCCCCCCCCCCAGCCGTTCTCCCTCTCCTGCTCTCCTTCAGTTGCCCTCGTCTCTCTTCCTCTCAACTCTTTTCTCGCTTTTTTTCCCCTCCTCCTCCTCCCCCCCCCTTCTCTCTGTTCTTGCTTTGGCCATCTCTTTATTGCTTCCCCCTCCCCGCCCCCCTCGCGCCGCCCACTTTTTTTCTCCCTCTCTGTCTCTGTGTGCTCGCTTGCTCAGCCCATTCTCTGTCGTGCTTCGCCTGCTTACGCTTCGCTCCACTGTACGGCATTTTACATGTACCTGGACAATGCGTTGGACTCGATTCATCTAGACTGATCGAACACTTTGTATCTATCGGATCAGAATACCAGCTGCAGACACATTTGGATTGATGTGGAGTGGAGTGAGGCCCCTATTCCTTCGTTCTCTCTCTGTGTTTTTTTTTTTTTTTTTTTTGTTGTTGTTGTTGTTGTTGTGCTGTTGCTTCTCGTTTCTTGAGTCCTTTGTTTTGTTTCTTTCGGTCTTGTTCACGTTGCGCGGTCTCTTCATCCGCCCGACCTCTCTCTCTCTCTCTTTCTGTCTCTCTCTCCCTCTCTCTTGCTCTCTCTCTCTCTCTCCGTGTCGCGCTTTCTCCCCTTCGTCCGCTGTTCCTGTGATTTTCTTTTTTATTTTTGTTGTTTCCTTTTGTCTTTTTTTTTTTCACTCCTTCCCCCCCTCCCCGAGGGACCCCCCTTCCATCAAACGATTTTGTCGATTCTGTTCTCGAAGGTTCTTTTCCCCCCCCCCTGAAGGTTTTTCCTTCGCTCCGTCTCCAAATTGCTTATTCTTTTTTTTTTAATTTAGAGATCGCTCTCCTGTTCGGTGGCCATGTGCCACGTGTCACATGATCTATGCGTTTATCGTTCCCCACGTGTGTCGTTGCACACGTGTCACATGAACTATACGTTGATCTCATACGGATTCGAGCGCGCGATCTCTCGTGACACATGAACTCTGCGTTTGTCGTCTCAAACTGATCCTTTTTTTTTTTTTTTTTTTTTTTTTGGGACCATTTCTCGATTTACGCGTGTCATCCTTGCGCAGGCGCCATGCTAATCTCTTCTTTCTCTGTATCGTTCCCATTTTGACTGTTGTCCCGGAGGTCTCTCTTGCTCTGATCGCGTATATTTACTTATTTCTATCAGATTCGAACTCGTGATCTCGTGGCCACGTGCGTCAAATGGCACTTGGACTCTGCGTTTGTCGTCTTGAATGCATCTCCTGCACGAGGGGGGTTGATATCGATGGGATGTTGATGTCGATGCCCCCGCCCCCCCCCCCTCTTCTTGACCTTCGTGTTCAAGAAGAGGATACCGTCTTCCCCCGTTATGCACCCTAAAAATGAGTGTATACAAGCTATATTTCCGGTCAGATACAGCCAAAATAAGGGTGCGTTGTGTTCGGGTTTCATCTTCGTCTCCTCCTCCTCCTCCTCCTCCTCCCTTTTCTCCCGGCTGAGCTAATATTTACTGTCCACCTTGGCCTGCTTCTCCTACTGCCCCGCCTCTCTTCCCTTCCCTTGAACATTCCTTCGTTCTCCTTCATCTCCTCCTTCTCCTCCTGCTGCTCTTCCCTTCTTCCCGGCTTAACTCCGGTCGTCACCCCACCTTGGTCTGCTTCTCCTACTGCCCAGTCTCTCTTCCCTTCCCCTCGAGCTACTTAACACATTCTCTTTCTAGTTCTTCTCCTTCGTCTCCTCCTCCTCCTCCTCCTCCTCCTCTTCCCTTTTCTCCCGGCTTAGCTAATATTTACTGTCCACACCTTGGCCTGCTTCTCCTACTGCCCCGCCTCTCTTCCCTTCCCGTCGAGCTACTTGGCGTTCTCATTCTCTTGGCCTTCTTCTAGAGTACGTACAGTTTTATTCTAATTCAATCAATTAACAAATAAAAGTGAATGAGTGAATTCAAATTACACAATTATATGAA